ACAGATAGTTGAGGAACTACTACCGTGCTAGTTATCCAAATTGGATTGGCTTGTACGCACTTACAGCAAGCATTCAAACCACTTCACCGGTTTCTGCGAGTTCACAACGAGAGCGTCGCCATGGCGGAAAGCAGTGTCAGCGTGGTTGAGACCGGTCACGTAGAACGTATCGTCATAGGTTTTGCCGAACTTGGATGTGGATAGCCCTCCAGCGCAGCTTTTGTACTCAACGATACCGTCATTTTCCTGCGACTTGTGCGGGATCAAGGATCCCCCCAGCTTGTATACAATCTGATCCGTTGAAAGGAGGCCCGAGTAGTTATCGCTGCACATTGCGGCATCGACATTTGAGCGGAAAGCAGACTGGGCCGCGACATACGCCGAGTTCAAAGCCGAAGTGCTGTGTGCCTCGTTCTGGTACGCAAGCCCGAGAACAGCGTTATTCGCAGGACACTGACCGATTAGGTTGGCTACAGCCTGAAGGAAACCATTGCTGCCGCTGCAAGCATTCTGGAGGTAGTCAGAACCCATGCTTCCGGTCATAGGTGCGCTCAAACTGACCCAAGTAGTGCTCGATGCGAACTTGCATCGCCCGTTCGCCAACGCACCAGCCATCATGAGACCGCCCATTGAGTGCGTCACAATGATGGTGTCTGCGATAGTCTTCGACGACGAGCTGCTCGTGCTGCTTACAGAGATGGCGAAGTTGCACACCTTCTGCTGAAGTGTAGCGTCTGTCCACGAGCTGCTCACTGTGTTCAATTGCGCGTATTTAATGGAGGAGCAGCAAGGTGCATTTTTCGAGAGATCACCAAAGTAGCTGGACTTTGTCTGCAGCGTACTCTGCTCAGAGCTCTGACCAAGACCGTGGAAGAAGATGCATGGGCGTCGAGCTGACTGGCAAGAGCAAGACGAAGCGCCCAGAGTCGTGGTCGTCCCGGACTGGAGATTACGGCGGGTCGACGACGAAATGGTCTGGCCGGTTAACAGAGCAAGAGCCGTATCCGAGACGGTGGTGGCAGTCACAACTGTCTCGCAGGACAGGGCTGCGTCACCGCTAACCGTCGGTGCGTTGATGGTAACCGGACTGTCCAAGTACTCGACGCTGATGTCCAGGTCACTGCCGTAGATGGTAAAACCATCCGACCCGGACGAGCAAATGACGAAGGTTGCGTCGCCGAGGGTGGCTTGGAAGAGGTTACCGCTCGCACATGTGATCGTGTCGTTGCCTGCTGCCGCACTTGAGATGGCAGTAACATCGTTAAGCGCCGAGATGATGTCGTTGAGAGGTGGCAGTAAACTTGAAGACAAGCACTGCGCACTAGAGCTGCTTGCATCCCCAGCAGTGGAAGTGACGAAATAGGCGATGCCATTCACCAACATGAAGGTGTAGTCGGTGGTGCCGTCCATGAATGCGGCGTAGCCGTCGTAGAGCACGGAGGTGTTGTCGGAGGACACAACAGGGTTGGCGAAGACGTAGAACTGATTCTGTCCGTAGACTTTCATGGAGGATCGCTTGAGCGTGAATTGGAGTCGCAGTGATGGTGCGTCGGCGAGTGATGTTGCAAGTCGGCGTTGGGTCGACTCGACTTGTTTGGTAGCGGATGCGGCCACGGTAGTGGTTGCTAGCGCGAGAAGGGTGATCACAACGAGAGCAAGGAATCGATGCGGAGACTTGAGGGCCCACATGTCGATTTTGAGGGGAGGCTGGGAGGCTCACTGCTCGCCACGAGGAGAATTGAGAAGTGAGTGGTGGAAGTCTAGAACTTGGCATCTTGGTGAGCACTTCAAAGACAATAGAGCTTGACACGAATCTCTGCGATTTGGCGGGCTTGTACTTCTACCATGAGATGGGCCTCATTTTCGCAGCAGTGAGTCTGTTTTCATCATGTAGTTCGACCTGTTGGATGTATTGTAGCAAGCCACAATGGATGCAAGATTTCAGGCATGCATCGTTGCTTGATGCTAGTTGCTCCAGCCAATGTGCTAGTACCCCAGAAGTCTATTAATATTGTCATTCAGATATACCAAAAACAAGCCGAGTTGCACGCGGGAAACAAAACCTTGCGCTTTTTTTTCTTCTAACAGTGAGAGAATTCCAGTCCAAACGACTGGTTCAACTGCAGTGCACGAACAAGTTTTGAGATTTTTTTTACAGGCGTCTAGACGTATGCAAAGTATGTGTGTATGCGCGTGTGGTGAAGGACCTTCACTGAAGGGTATGACCTCTCTTCAGACTGACATGTGAAGTCCAGGCCTGCCGAAGCTAAAATATGGAAGGGGTTGCCTTGCGAGTATCATGGAGACTGATAGTATCAGCCATTCGCTGTCACTCACTGCTGTCAGTAAAGTTGTCGGACATTGCTTCTAAGAAGCGGCGTAGGCATCGTCACCCACCGAACTTGACTCCGCCACATTGCCGGCGTCAACGCGATCGGTGAGGATCGTCTAGAGGCCGGGTTACGGTAGATTGCCACTCCTTTTGCGGGCAGGTCATGCTTTTCAAGCTGATAGTTTCATCCTTGACGCATGTTCTAGTAAGGACAATGTTGAAGTTGGAAGTACCTTAAACTTCAACACTGCCTTGACTTGTTACGTCTGACGATCAAGTCAACCAAGTCGCTTGCGTATCATTGAAGTATCCTGAGAGCTTTGCAGTTATCACGTCGGTTCGCGACCAAGTCGACGTTGTGAATACCAGACAAAAGTTATCGCTTTGAACTATACGAGTCGAGCGGTGGCTACCACTTGCCGCTTTCGGTGGGCATGCCCTGAATGGTTAACAGTGGTTCACCGTTAGCGGAGCACATCTGCGTTATCACGACTTCAATCCCACTGCGTGGTGGCTCAACTATCCGGCTTCATTTGGTCTGCTGACATCTCTGCAGAATCTGCTAGGCAGCTACGTAGGACACGAGGGTTAATATTTCTCCTCTCTTTCAGAATTTTCTACAGTCCATGTACAACTTGTACCATATTCTTGTAGCCGACAACGCGCACTCAACGCTAGCCTAGCATCACTAGGACAACGTTACTACCAGTGGTGAAAATGCAAAGTTGTATGGCATTCTCAGCAATCCGACAGGAGGACACCAACGTGGCAGATACTGTCGTTGGGCCCATCGCCTGGGTAAAAGTCGATGAAGCTTTCTCCGTGGCGTCAACGCGCTGCTGTCCACTGGCGTATCGTGCCCAACGCACGATAAACGCCGGCTTCTGTATCCACGAGTAATCTTCTACGTCCAGCATACATGCACATGCACAGGAAGCTTCAACTTAGAAAGATCGTCTCGGTGTCCGCTCATGATACGGTACCACGGTAATCACGCGAGCTGCCTTCGATGGCTGAATGTATGCCATGAGGTCCACTGCCAATGTCATTTTCTTCCCGTCAAGCGAGTTTTCATCTCTGTCGCCAACATGGCTGGTTGCTATCCAGCCATGGCAGCTGCGCCCAGATGCCAAGTGCAAGGACATCTTGTGAAAGCGTTGCGCTCCGTGCTTGACAGGGACCGCTTTTTTCCTCCCTGATCTCACTTCGACTTTTTCTCCTGGAAAGCAACGAGTCTCCAATCCTTCATTACTGTTATCAACCGAGCGCCATGTGGCCGTCCGCTCCTCGCATCCTTGCTCTGGGGTTGCTCGTAACTCTTGCAATTGCAGTCACCACAGTCTCGGCATCCACCCTGACCGATGCACGACCACTGCGACTTCACTTTACACTCAAGCGATCTTCCATGAAGATGTATGGGCACCTCGAGTTCGATGTCTTCGCCAACCCTGTCGTATCCGCCGATAATACCGCTGTTCGGTACGACGGCTACGCCACCTTCAAGGAGGGTTCCACCAAGCACACAATTGTGATGGTGGACGGCATCGCCTACTTTGTGACGTCATCCGCTGATGGAACGGAGACGGCGGAGTGTTCGTCTTCAAGCTCGCTCGCGCTGCTCAACTACATCATTCCGGCACTTAACGACGCTACTGCCATCTCAAGCGCGACGGTCGACGATAAGAAAATAACTTGTTCGAGCGGGGACTTGCTCAAGGTCGTCCTGGGCGATGCTGTATTCGTTATTTGTGCATCGGGTTCCTCCGGTTTTATTGTCTACGGAAGTGATCTGGACATTAGTGTCGCGTATCTGGATAGTCCGGTATCCATCTCGGTGCCTACACTTAGCGAAGACGCAGCGCGTTCGTGTGAAACGATTGTGACACCTTCGTCAGTAACAGCGACAACGCTAGCGTTGCTCACCGGCGAGCCCGTAGCATACAACTGGAGTACTCAAGGCCTTGCCCGTTTCCTGGGTAACTATTTTAGCTATGCCCGTTAAAAATGATATAATACATGAATGAATAACCTCAGGTAATTTACATGGTTAAGGCAACTCGTCATCATTTTCCTTCTCTATCGAGTAACTTGAAGTATTTCCAGGGCGGTGGACAAGTGGATCACAATACTGTGAAACCCTTCAAAACATGAATATTTTTTAAAAACAGAATCAACGTGCTACGAACCCAGAACAATGCGCACTAGCAATTCTACATGCAGTCTAACAATGCTCACGCCGCGTGAGTCCCTCGGCAGCGACCGATGTCCGGATCCCGGCTTTTCTCTTAATAGAGCAGAATTGTCTTCCCGACAGCTGGTTGTGTATCTTGTAATTATCCCTTTCCAAAAGAAAACTCGGCTTGAGCAAATTCTTCAACGAGTTTTACTAGCTTGTGACCTGCACTTTACGGTTCATTTCCAGGATTCATCTCCGTATCCGCTTACCATAAAGTTCGTTACGCGGACTCAATGGGCAGAACGAGCGGTAGGGGGAACGACTCGAGGCTCCACGCCGCACTTTCGTACTACGAGTCTGGACGTCGGCAAAGCAGTCATGGCCAGCAACCTGGGACGTAGTTACTTTATAATATAGTATGCATGTATCTTAGATTTCCCCTCGCTTCAGCTGCGATGGTCTCTGTGAACTCAGCCATTCAGAGCCCAATCAATAGTTTTCAGGCACGACCAGTAAAAAGTGAGTCCCTGTCGGAATTCTTCCTACCAAGTACAGCTGTAGCTACGAGCATTTGATGCAACAAACTTGACAAAAGCTCAAAGTTCCCCCTAGAACAGCACGTTTACGAACTGAGCAAACTGAACATGCGCATACCGGAATTCCGGCTCATTTATCATGGGATTTGTTCTGGGCACCGTGCGCTTCTGGCCCTGCCATTCCGCGTTTGTAGCTGTCGCGTTCATTGCTTGACACCGCGATAAAAATGTGGTGCCGAACTCTCTCTGCGGCGCTCGCTGTGTTTGCTGTCACGGCGTCTGCGACCAACCCTCAACCAAACCACCATGAGCGTGCGCTTGAAGCGGAAGCAGGCATGTGGAGCTTCGGTTCAACGGCGTGCGAGTGCAAGTCCACTCCTCGCCCATGTCTCTTCATCCACGGCGAGAACAATGAGAAGGAGGAGAAGGAGCTGCAGACCACGTCCGACAAGTTCGGCGATATGACGGACCACGCCCCGTGCTGCTCGACCATCAAGTACGCGTCGTTGGACACGAAAACTACTCGTTGGACCGACGAAACCCTGCAGGAGACGGTATGCAAGCACGCTCTGTCGATGAGCAAAACTAGCGAGGCAGATGAGGGCCTGATCAAGGACACTATCCTTGTAACCCACTCGATGGGCGCGCTGATCGTGGCTGGCGCGGTTGCCAACGAGAAGTGCGGTATTGATAATAGCACGACCTGGGTCAGCATGAGTGCACCAATGAACGGTACGATGGCATCGAACTACGTTCAGGACATTTGCACAGACGATGACACGCAGGCTTTTCATAAGATTTTAACGCTCGTGGGCAAATGCCCGATTGGCGACGGAATGAAGTCTATCGCGTACATGGGCGGCAAGTACAGCACTATGGCTCTCAACAAAGCGTATGTGGCTGCCCAGAAAGTATACCGCAAGCACGTGTCGGCCGCCATGTGCAGCAACGACGATATTGGCATCGTTTCGACAGACCAGGCCAATTACTTGTACCTAGGCTCCCAGATCGAACATGGCACCAAGGAGCATGACGGTATGGTGACATTCGAAAGCTGCCGAGGAGGACTGCCAGAAAGCCAATTCAGCGATAGCTACGAAGACCGATTTTACGTGTCAAAGTGCAACCACGGCGACACGGCGTTCCTCCACGGAGACAGCTACTTCCGCGACACGATTAAACCAGTTTCTTGGTTCCAGTGCCTCCTCTAAGGTGCCAGGTTTATTCATTTCGTTTGATCATCTCTTACTGTACTGCAATTCAATAAAATTATTGGAGCTGCAATAGCATTTTAGCTGGGTGGTCGACTCAAAATTTAATTTAGAGCTGACCCATTATTGGCAAAACAACAAAATTACATTTATAATAGAATTAAAAATAGTCACCGTAGTTATTTTTCCTTCACAGATTATATCGAAAATTCTCGCTATTTCCATGCGAAGTGGCGTGGAGCCATTAGATTTTACATGGTTTGCTTGCCTTTACATGTATGTTCCGATTGCGATCTTTATTGTTATATAAACGAGCTCTCAATGCAGCTAATACTACAATCAAAAGGTTTGGATTTTAAGCATTCAGACCACGAAGTAATCTATAAATAGCTTTTTCGAGTATTGCTCTATTTCTTTTGTTCCACATTAGAGGTCTTAGATTATCCCACAAAATCGGTTTCTGGAATCCTAATTGGTGAAAACACATGCGTTAACCCATCGAAGAAGTTGGCAAAAGCTCACAAAGTTCAAGCGTTTTATGGTTTCAGTATGCAATGTTAGTGTAAAAGAGGTGTTGTAAAGGAAGTTGGTGTCGAAGAGGACGAAGTGGAGTAGGTGAAGTGCTGCCAAGAAGGAAAGTTGGAATGTGAATGATGCAGGGCATAGCTAAAATCCAAAAACAGAAACTAGTTGCACGCTCTTACATGTATCCAAGACGATGGTCTTGGTGTCCCACTCTTTGTTGCCCGTTGGTGGCCCCGAGACTGATGTCTAAACAGTGTGAACTTCAACATTCTGTATCAACTGAACATTTATCGGCTTGTGATGTTTTAGTCGTCACTGTGGCCAGCTCTGTGAGTGTTCGTCGCTAGTTCTGCGAATCTAACACTCTCACCCGACGAACACCGCGATCGCTGCGAAATCGGTCGAACTTAGTCCTACCGAGTGGCTTCGTGAAATGGACCGCCGTCATTTCGCTGACAAGAGAGCACTCGTACGTATCCCCAGATCACCGTATCTCTCAACAAATGATATTTCGTATCAACGTAACGAGACCGCTGAGTCACACCTTTGCCTTCCGCCACCTTATTTGTCTTCCCGAGCTATAATCTCGCCAGTCGTAGTACCTAGAACCGCTAGCACCATCATGAGCCCGATCCATTTTTGCACCCCAGTTGCCATTGCGATGTATTCCGATTCAGTTAATGACAGTGTCACTTTTGACTGTTTCTTAGAGTCAGATTGCCATTATAGTAAATGGCGTGTCCAGTTGACCCTTTCCGCTCCATTTCAACAGCAAATGCAGTATCGCAGTAAACCACGAGGCCTACGTGACTGGTGCTCTTGCCATCGCTGAATGTGAGCCCGTAGCATTTGAGGACCGGAAAGCAAGATCAATATCATTCACCACTGCGGATGCTGGTGTCTCAGTTTCTTGTACCAGCAGGCGCACAGAGGTGGCCAGTTCCGGTCTTGTCAATACTGTCAAGTACACTAAAGTACCAAGAGCTGACTAAGGCATTAAGCCACACAGTTCCTGCTCTTTGGCCAACTGGATCCAGAAGTGCTCCTCCATTGGAGTCGGCGAAGAGCGGCACTAGTTCATTGCAAATATCTCGAGAATAGTGGATGCGTATTTGGCCTGACAAACGCTCACTTACCAACAGACGAAGACTATCCAAGCTCCAATTTCAGAAAGAAATTAACATCTACAAAATAGTTTACGCTGTAGTAACTCTCCACTGCGAGCTGGAACACACTCAACACATTGTCATCCACACCAAAACCCAGCAAAATCATCGACTTAAATAAACGCATCACGTTGTTACCGTCAATCTTCACAAACAAACACGCATCCGCCTTGCCTTGAGTACACCACAGCCGATCAAAAAGGTTTTCAAGTTTTTCGTGCCATCCTCTCGAGGTTTGTTTCAAGCCATATAACGCGCGACGAAGAAGCCATAGCCACCCGTGTTTTCGTATTCTTCGACGGAGCGCACGCAGCATTCCAGAGGGCAGTGAAGCCACACAGCCCACTGTCGTCAGCTTCGAGGGAGAGCTGTGAGTCGCGCTCGCAGCAGTATTGTTCGAAGGAAATTTGCCGACCGGTGTCCTTTCAGTCGTCAACCACGCAAAGAGCGTCGCTAAAGTCTACCGCCTCTGCAAGCAGCCATTGACGAGGTCGCGACGTTCGACTGTCGGAATCAGTTTATCCAGCCCAGACAGCCTTATACTCGTAGGCACCATAGTCGCGACGATGATCGACTATCGCCCAGATGACATACAGGCGCGCGGCAGCAGCAGCGCGAGTACCTCAGCAGCACGGCGGCCAGCTTCATCAAGACCAAGACGAACCTGACTTCAGACGCGACCACAAGTTAAGTTAACACTGTTCCAAGCGTAGCGAACCATGACGACTTAATTGACAAGTACTATGCGCAGGTTCAATAGCTAAGAGCAGTGAAGTGGACAGCGGCAGGAGGCCGAGGTGCGTTTTGAAAGGACAGTTTGCTTGTGACTGACGTGTTGAATGACGCTCATAACTACTCCATTGGAACAAGTATTTCGCGGGGTGTCACAGGCGGAGGGGACGATGCGGTTAGGATTCCAAGGACCCCATGACAAGATTTGGATGCCAGTTCTATTATGATGTGTGTGTGTTTGTTTGTTTGTGTGTGTGTTTGAGAGAAAGAGAAAGAGAAAGAGAGAGAGAGAGAGAGAGAGAGTTTCGAATATCTGGTTAAAGCCGGCTTTGGAGAGGTATCGGATTAGACAGGTAAAATCTGTAATAGAGGAATACAGCCGCCGATGTTGTGGTAGCTAGGCGTTTGGAGAGAAACTCTTTTAGTTTCTTGCCACCACAAGAACCTTTTCCTCTTCCTCCTCTTCCCTTCTATCGCAGGGCCAGTTTGATATAATGCATACCATTTATTTCACTGATAATGATTTCCTTTACTTTTTTAGCAGCTTAGTATTAACTACGTCACTTACCAGAACTCTTTAATTATTGGATTGAATGCCTACATGTGCCAGAAAAATTGAAGGCGAGTAGACACTAGTATGCTTTCTCTACGAAACACGATCTTTGGTCAGTCGGAGCTGAGTGTATCTCAGTCATTTGAGGGTACTACCGGTACATGTATCTTATGTCCTTGACGACACAAAGCTTTGTAGCATAAAATCCAGAGCTGTTCCGTGCGGCTTCGTTCTAACGAACTATTAAATTATGCAGTATGTTATACGTCGAAGCTAATTCCCTAAAAATGTTGAGAAATAGAATGGCTCACATTTTATTCCCAGACCCATACACCGATGGAGAAATCAGGGCCTTTTTTTTAAAAAAAAAAAAGCATATTAAAATATGTATTATTATAGTACAAGAAATATTAATACATGCCCCACCTTGCAGCCAATCCGCACGATAGTCACTAGTCAAGATTTACGATAACGAACGCGATACGCTATAGCTCGTCTGAATAAGTTTATCGCTTACGTACAGTAAGTACATTGAACTTGGCGCGTGTACTTCGTCGGACACGATTGAAGAATTGGATAGCATATTGAACGAGTTGCGTCGTTGAACAACAGGTAAATACTTCTAGGCGCTTGATTGTAATGCGGAAGTGACATTGCTAGAGGTCGGCAACTTAAACTGTAACTTAGTGGAAGTTGCAGACATCACTGTCATAATGGCCGGTCCCATGGGACTTCAACACTCGCAAACAAATGCAAGACCTTGCACTGCAAGTTACAGCGGAAGTTGCAGCCTGCAACTCGCAGGGTGCAGGAGTTTCTCACCTCCAAAAAAGAAGCTGATCCAACGTGGCTGGTCGACAATCACAACGGCACCGCCGGTGCACTGCACTGCACAGGTCTCATAATGAGCAAATCGCCGTCTAATTTCCTGAGCAACCGTATCAATTACAACTCAGCGATTGCGACCAGCGTCAACACAAGAGCTTTTCGTGAAAAAAATAACATGCATTTCAGTTTTTGCATTGAAATTTTCCTTTTTGGACCCTTCGTTTACAAAAGCATTCACATGTCAAAGCGGTTTTAGGCTACCTGGAAAGATCTACGACAGTATTTCAATATGTACACTGTATTGCTGGAAGTACAAGGCACGCTGGGGTAGTTGCACCGAGCGGTACGTTGGCCTTGACGTGGCCAACCTGTGACGCCATACGTCCGAAAAACATGATGCCATGACAGTTCTCCCATATTGTGGGAGAACATCAACATGCAACACACTGGCACAAAGTCCATCACATTTCAACAGCGACCATCCAATTCTTGCCCTTCTTTCTCGCTTTTCCTCGGCCAACTGCAAGCTTGCAGTCAAAGCAAAGCTTACCACTGACCAGCTGCTCACAACGCATTTTCCAAGTTAGAACCAACAGCTCAACGTTTGAGGCGAAACAGGTAGAGCTGCTACAGACACCTCACGAAAACGATGTGGTTATCAACGTATGCTCTTCGGTGCATTGCACTCGTGTGCGTTGCATTCGTTGCGTCCACGACTTCGACGACAGCTTCAGTAGCTCAAAAGGGCAAAGGAACCGTTCACGGAGACCTCCGTACCAGCACCACGGAATGGCCGTCCTTGAAGCTCCACTTCACATTGAAACGCGGCTCGATGCAAGTCTACGGTCAGCCCGAGTTCGACGTGTATGCTAACCCGATCGTGTCGAACGACGGTCTTAGCGTCACGTACGACGGATACGTGGACTTCACCGAAGGCTCGACCCTCACCCGGTACATGCTGGTCGACGGTATCGCCTACTCGACGACTACGACCTCCGAAACGGACCAAACTCAAGCTTCATCGTCGTCAACTCAATGTGTGGAATCGAAGGCGCTGCCTCCTCTCAACGACATGCTACCGGTGCTCAACGACGCCATTCAAGTTGCAAACGCTACTTTAGACGGCACAAAGATCAAATGCTCACCAGGGAATCTGTTCAAGGTGACGTTCCGGGGACTCAACCTGGCCGTGTGTGCGCTTGGTTCTTCGGGTGTTCACGTTTATGGCAGTGACTTGGAGATCAGAATTAAATATCTAAAGAGCCGTGTGGAGATTACGGCACCAGAGCTCAGTGGCAGTGCCTTGAGCAAGTGCGAGAATGTCGTGAACGCCACTGCTATGACTGAAACCTCAATCGCCTTGCTCACTGGAGATGTGATCCCCGAGAGCGAGTCACGAAGCCTGGACTTCGACCCGGGCGTCGACTTAGCTGCCACTACGTGCTCGTGCAAGTCGACGCCACGTCCGTGTCTCTTTATTCACGGTCTCGGTATTGACTACGCGAAAGAGGAGCTCCAGGACTCGTTCAGCGACTACTGGGGCAACATGACGGACCATGCACCGTGCTGCACGGAATTCAAGTACATGATCTGGAATTCCATGGAGACCGGATGGAATAACGACACCCAACAGCAGATCATGTGCGACCTTGCAGCTTCCGTGACAGAATCGGGCTCACCAACCGAAATCGCGGACACTATCGTCGTGACGCACTCAATGGGCGGACTCATGTTGGCAGGCGCCATCGCGACGGGGAAATGCACGCTCGCTAACAGCAGCTCTTGGGTTGCTACCAGCCCACCGTTGTCAGGAAGTATGGGTTCGGACTATGCTCAGGAAGCCTGCAACGGGGAGCACACTATTATTATGGAGGCCATCGGCAACGTCACGGGTCAATGTCCTGTGCTCGGAGCTACGAAGTCATTAACGTATAAAGGCGGAGAGTTGAGTTCTACAGGGCTGAATGATGGATATGAGGCAGCTCAAGAAGTTTTTAGGACTCATGTACACGCAGCTATGTGCAGCAACGCGTACTGGGGGCTGTTTTCGATGTACCAGCCAATGTATTGGCTGCTTGGCGCTGGACTTCCTCATAAGTCCGACGAGAACGATGGATTGGTCGAGTTCCAGAGCTGTGCCGGCGGTCTGCCGCTTGAACAGTTCGGTGACCATTATAGCGACCAATTCTACGTGACATCTCTCAACCACGCCGATACCACGTTCTACAACGGCGACGGTCTCTTCAGTGCCGCGAAAAAGCCTGTCAAGTGGTTTGAGTGCGTGCTGTAGATCTGGTCTACCAGGTTTTGACGCTTAGGACTAAATAGAGCTTCCAATAGACTGCATTTGCATTGCAGTACCATGCTAAAAGATTTCTTGAAATATGGTATTGAGGCCATGTGCTGTCCGTTTCGCGCATGTGGATGGAGGTTTGCTGGTAAACTATTTATGATAGCAAAACGACTTTTCTCCGTTCAACTTGGTGCTATGTAGGGCCGCATGGCAACGAAACAAAGTGCAGCAGTCCAACATGGGTAGTATGAAGGGGCCGAGCAGCGACATCAGCGCGTGTAGTCGTGTGGTACCTGAAGGCGAGACAGCAATCAGAGAAGCTTTGACTACGTCTCCAGTCGACAATGGTATTTCCACGCCAGAGCAGGAGGCAGATGTTTTGTCAAAACTCGTGTCACCGTTAGTTCCCCACGATGCAGCACTAGTAACATCGGATGAGCACTGTCCGAGTGCAACAACAGATCCGAATATCTGTTTGGGACCTGTGCTGCCAGATATTCGCGTGCCTCCAGTACAAGAAAATGAAAGAAATGAGGAAACGAACGATGCAGCTCGAAAACAAATCCGGCAAACCAATGACCCATCCATCGAAACGATAAAAGCGATAGAGTTTACCGAAGAAGCCAACAAACGGCGGAGTTGGAAGGTGGTCGGCAAACTTGCGGTGATGGCCAAGTCGATGAATGCCCACTCGATCGATATTTACCACGATCGAAAGCTCAACACAAGCCGCTTTATGATTCACCCCAACTCGAAGTTGCGCAGAGCATGGGAAGCGACGACTGTGTGTTTGGTTCTCTATGTCTGCGTGATGGTAGGTAAAGTGGCGGGGTGAGTCCGAGGAATTTCACTAACGAATTGTAAATCACCAGATTCCGTTCATTATCGGGTTCCAGTTTGTCGATTGGAGTCATTTGAACGGCATGAACACTTTTATCGATGTCTACTTTATCACAGGTATATTACTGCAACTGGAAATGTGTTTGTGTTTATTTACTAACTATTCCTGTGTAATGTTGCTTGCTGTAGATATGGTTATGACATTGCGCACGGGTATTGTTTCAAATGGCGAGGTGGTGATGGATCCCAAGAGAGTCGCGAAAAAGTATTTCCATTCGTGGTTCATCGTTGACCTCATCTCCAACTTCCCGCTTGTGCTGTTTGTCCAATCTTCCGGCAAATCTTTGAAAATTGTAAAACTTCAAAAGATCCCCAAACTGCTGCGAATCGGTCGATTGCTGAAATATCTCCGCGAATATGCCAAGTACTACAATCTCATTGTCAGCTTTCTGGGTCTTGCTATGGGATTGCATCTTTTCGCATGCATATGGGCGAGTTTGTTCAACGAATGCTACGATTTCCACGGTGAACTCGTTTGCACCGAAGAAGAGGTTCGTAAAATACTCATTTTTTGAGTACTTGGTCTCGATCTCATCCAGTGTTTATGATTTTAATCAGTTGGCACCTATGTACGTCCAATGCGTTCATACCATCATGCTCATGTTTTTCGGAATTGGCGAAAGCACCACATATTCGAACATCGCAAGATTAAAAAATCCCGAGCTTAACGCGAACATCGAGCTCTACTATATGAGCATCACTGTGTTCATGTTAGGAACCATTTTTTCGTCCTTCCTCTTTGGCAACATTCTTGCTCTGCTCATGAGTTGGGACCAGCAAAAAGCCCAATTCCGTAACCGAATGGACATGATTAAAGCCGAAATGAAGTACTACGAACTACCAGAGGAGCTGCAGCATCGTGTTCGCAGGAATTACGATTATCTCTGGATCAACGTAAGTTGGAATAGCCTTTCATTTGTCCGGTTTTCTTACATTCTATTTTTTTTTACAGCAACGCGCATATTCCGACATGATGCTATTGAACCAGCCCGGTATTTCCAAGCCGCTCAAAACGACTATCGCGTTGCATTTGTACAAAGATTTGGTAAAAACTGTACCGTTCTTCGCTGGATCCGACTCGCGGTTTTTGGGCAAAGTGTGTCTCGCCTTGGAAACAGCAGTGTATTTACCTGGAGACACGATCATTTACTGCGATGATATCGGCAAAGAGATGTTCATCGTTCGCAAAGGTCTCGTCGAGATCTTGATTGACCCTGAGAACTCGGAGAAGCGAATTTATTTACGAGACGGAAACTTCTTTGGAGAGACAGCACTTGTCATCGACGTGCGTCGTACAAACACTGTTCGCGCCGTCAACATCTGCGATCTCAATGTACTAAGCAAGCACGCGTTTAACGAGATCGCTGCAGAGTATCCAGAGTTCGGTGAGCGCATGAAGCGGACAGTGATCAAGCGCCAACTTGATAACATGAACATCCAGTCTCCTACTGAGAAGGCTAAAATACACAATCAGCTCACTTTGGTAGTGGAAAAGTCACTTAAACAGCGTCGAATGTCCGTGTCGCTACGTACCATCTATCGTGCCAAGAAGCTGGGAGACAAACTTAAAGAAATTGCTGACCGTGCATCCAAGCCTGTTCGACGCTTTTCGCGTGCCGTTGCTCCTCGACAAGCCCGTATCCGTCCTTCTCAACGAGAAGACTCGCACTTTAAGTCGTCTATGGAATCATCTTTTGCGGATAGCACTCGAGACTTAGCTCAGTTTTCCAGGCCAGTAAGTGGCTCCAGTTCTCGGAACTTGTTCCCGAAGCGACCGACAGTGACGCATCGAATGAATTCTGGGCTTTCACGACAAGCTTCCCAGTCAGGAGCTACAGAGACAACTGGTCCTCGACGAACTATCGATTCCGGACCACGACGCACAGAAGTACCGTCAGATTTGATCCCGTCAGCCTTGGCTCAAATCACAACAATGGTCGAACAGATCCGGCAGACAACAGAGTTGTTGAGTCTTCGGTTGGGAGCAGTTGACGACTATGATGAAGAAGAAGAAGATGACGACTTTGACGAGGACACATACAGCGAAGACATGTCGTTTAACCTTCGTGATACGCCACCGTTTCCTCCTTTGACAGAGGAATCTGAAGAGGAAATGGCACGTCGCGAGAGCAACAGCATCGTACGTATCTTGATCCAGTAGTTATTGTACAAGGTGACTTACATTTTTTTTTTCTTGCAGTTTGTTCCGAACGCACAAAATTCGAGTAGAAATAGCTCGAGGAATTCCAGTCGCTTGGTACGATAGTACTGTGATGAATGGCAAGTGATAGTCTTTTCCTCATTTTTTATGTTTTTATTTTATAACAGTTCGGGGACAAGAGGGGGAGCGATTCATAGTCGATGCCAAGGAATCGATCACAGGGCTCCACCTTAAAAATATTCTACATGTACATGCAGCCACTCAGCGACATTCACTCTATTTATCAGATAATTCCAGTGTTTCATTCTTTGCCTTCCACCTGTGCGCTTTTGTAGTCCGAGATGACAGACGCCAGCAGCATTTCCACGGTGACAGCACTGGACTTTTTGGTCTGCTTCTTGCCATCGCCATGTGCATTGAGTTTGTCCAAAATCTTGTGATTGAGTTCCGTCTTGGACTCTCCGAGTTTGTAAATATCCTCGTCTACCGTGTTCTCTGACACGAGTTTGTAGATGGACACAGGCTTCGTCTGGCCGATACGGTGACAACGATCACATGCCTGCTCGTCCGCCGTCGGGTTGAAGTCCAAGTCGTGCAGAATGACCGTATCTGCAGCTGTAAGATTGATACCGAGGCCACCTGCACGCGTAGACAGCAAGAAGACGAAGATGTTCTTGTCTTCGTTGTACGTATCGATGAGTCCTTGTCGTTCCTGGACATCAGTGGATCCGTCTAACCGCAGATACCGGTACTCCATGTGACTCATAAGTACTTCTAGCAAGTCCAAAAGTCTCGTCCACTGCGAGAAGATGAGGACACGGTGGCCTTCTTTCTGAAGTGTGGGGAGCAAAGTTCGCAAGTAATCGAACTTAGCAGAAGCCAGCAGAGTTTCCATTGGCAATTGCAGTTGACGGAGCTCATCGATCGCTTCGTACTGTACGCATAAGTCGTGCAGTTCAAAGTCACTGTACGACTCGAGCTCCTGACGCACTCTACTCATCGAGCATTGGTTGCCGAAGGCTTCGGCTCGATGCAGACATCGACTCAAGGTCTCCAACACTTCGTCCGACACGAAATGTCTGCGTAGCAACACTGGGTGGTTGGCAGCTTTCCGTAACTGCGTGAAGATGGACATAGCGGTAGGTTCGCCTCCAAGTGGCGTAGCGTAAGAACCCATTAACTCCCGTAATCGACGCTCAGCCTTATGGTCCTTGCCCTTGTTTTTCTTGCGCTCTTTTGCTGCAGCCTTCCGTGCTGCTAGGGCTTCTCGACGCTTGACTACAGACTCCAGCAAGTCAGTGTACGCCTTGCGTTGCTCGTTTCCCACCTTGACAAGCTCGATGGACACAGTCTTCGGCACCAGTTGACTCAACACGTACTTCTTTTCTCGTCGCAGGATGAACGGAGCCAAAATCTTGCGTACTTTTTCGCATTTCTTCTGTTCGCTTCCGTCGAAAAAGCTCAAAAGTTCATCAGAGCCGTGATCGAACATCCGCGGCATGAGGAAACTCAGCATCGTCAGCAACTCATTGAGTTTATTCTGGATGGGCGTGCCGCTCAACACGAGTCTCGTACGTGCACGCAGCGCTGTGATGCGCTTAAATCTCGACGTGTTCGAGTTCTTGATACTGTGTCCTTCGTCAAGAATCATGTAGCCGAACTGGAAGCTTCGTAGGAACGCACGTTCCTCTTGACACGTATCTCGCTCGAAATAAGCGTACGTAGTCAGCATGATGTCAAAGTCGTCGCTATCCAGTGTATCTTCCAGCTCTCGACGATGGTCTTTTGAGCCGTGATACGTGACGATACGCAGCTTCGGTGCGATCCACGAGAACTCGCGTGTCCAGTTGTTCAGTACACTTGCCGGTACAACAACCAGGTGAGGGCCAACCGCACTCTTGTCTGACTGTTCCAGCGACTTAAGAAGCAGCAAAAAGGAGATCGTCTGCACGGTTTTACCGAGTCCCATCTCATCCGCCAACACTCCAGATACTTTGTTTTCATGCAATAGCAGCAGCCAATTGACACCAACCACCTGGTATGGCTTCAGTTCGAGCGTCTCGCAGATATCGGGGATGTCTTTCTGAGTGACTACGCGTCGATCTCCGCCATTTATCGACGCCAACGACATGTGAACGGCCTCTTCTTCGTCTGTAGCATCCCCAGGCGACGTAGACGGACTGGACGATGCTGACTTATTGGCATTACCCGACCAATTCCTCACTGACTGGCGTAGTTTCCGTGCAATCGCTTCGCACTCTTCCAATAGCTGTCCGACTTCGTCATGGGAGCGAGAATAATGCTCGTCTTCATCGGAGTCGTCGAAATCGTTCCTGTCTTCGTACGTAAACCGTCTCGATGCACTTGATTGCGTTGGTTTCTTGGGTTTCTGCTCCTTTTTACTCCTCCATCCATCGCTCTCGGCCTTGTGTTTCTTCACTCCATTGCGTCCAAATGCTGCCATCCAGTCTTTAGCAGCAGATGACGATTTTTCCAGGTCTTTCTCGAACACGTCGTCCTCTCTAGGTGATGACACGTCCGAGTCCACCGTCAAGTCCTGCATCTTGGAGCTATTGGTCTCTGCCTCGTCATCAGACTCTACAATTGCTCTTGTGCGTTTGCCACGCCGCCTTGTGGACGGTGCGAGCTCTTCGTCCTCTTCTTCGGCATCTTCGGCGGTGCTGGAGGCTGTGACATCTTCAATATCTTCCTGTTTCTTCTCCTGTTTCTTCTCCTGTTTCTTTGGACTTGGGCTGGTGTTTCGCTTGGCAAAGAAGGAAGACACTAGTCTTGTGCCTGTGGCGGCTGGAGCTCGCTTGGCTCGGGCTTTGGGCCGACTAGAAGCTGCTGAGCTCATGGTGATGCTCGGGACGCGCGTAGGAAGCACGTTCAGCGCCGCTTTGAGCGGTGCGGCGTCCGTGTCCACCACCTCGTACTTAGTAAGCGTACCGTTGGCGTAGAAGGCGTCGCGAAGCCCGAGAAGCAGCACATCGCCCTGCCGCAACACGCTCTGCTTGGTCTGGCGAGTAGCCACGATGCTCGTCTTGCCGCAGCAACGCAGAGCCACTTTGGGGCCACTCAGGTACACGGCACCTTTGCCGCCGCAAACGCGCTCCTCGGCACCATCCACCGTCAAGCGGTAGAGCTTGCCGCTCACGCTCTCCTTCACGCCCAGGGCCATGATTGAGGTTTTGCCGCCAGTTTTTCAATGAGTGGCGCGCTTCGAATCGAAGCCTACGTTGAAGAGGGATTGGCTGAAATAAAATATGTTGCCGATAAGATGATTGGGTGCTATTTCCGTTGAATATTATCACAAATAAAAATTCAAAAAATATAATAACATAATGTTTTATTAATAAATAAATAAAATAGGATCACATAAATTTAATGCTAACATAACCATGGAGTGCATGGTTATATGGCATGGACCTTGGTCCTCAATAGAATCCCTGTATAGCACACACAAATCAATGTCATTCACACTGACTGGATAAAGTAATCTTGGCGTCGGGTCTTTCTAATATGAATCTAACTCGAAATACACTGGCTGACAGACCTTCAAATTTTAATTGCAAAAATTGGTGAAACAATTATTGTCCATCAATTTCAATACACATTGAGAGATTACAACGAACGTTCATGATATTAAATAGTCTAAAAGCATCGTGAGCGGCGGGTGCAATGGGTTTTGATCTGCGTCGAGGAGCTTCAATTCGCGTCTCTGGGCAGTTGTACCACCCCCAGTCGGTGGTGTCGCGGCTCTCAATTAGTTCAATTATGCTGCGGTGCCAGCCACTGCATACCACCTCGCAGATCAGTTCCGTCGCTGTCTGTATAATACGATGGTGGCAGTGGCGGCGAAATTCCAGGGCAAAACTTGGATATCGTTTATGCTGATACCGGTTGGGTGGCCATCTCGGACGGTCGCAGCATCTCCGACGCGCGTACGTACATCTTTTCGGTGTGAATACGGTCGCGTGGTCGAGGAGTGCACGGGGGAGCGTCATCAGAATTGGTAGGCGAGTCTGTAGCAGTAGGTCCTTCCGACACACCATCCTTGCGGAGGAAGAGAAGCACGCGGCGGTTGCGGGCGTACTTGTGCGAGCGTCGTCGGTCCACGATCTCCGACACGCGCATCAGTTCCTCCTCGGTGTCCTCGCCATCGCTCATATCCTCCGACATCGAATCCTCCGTGCCCTCCGTGGATCCGTCACGTGAAGCAACATCCGCTTCCGGTTCAGGTTCAACGACCTCGACCTCCACTTCGTATTCAGCGTCGTCCTCCAAAACCGTGGTAAGTGATCCGCACTGGTTGATAGGCGTACGATCCGCCGGGTTCAGCTCGATAGGCAAGATCGCCTTGTGGAACGTGTAAGCCTTGTGGCTCGGGTCCTGCACAATAGCACTACCCAGGAATCCTCGCAGAATGGAGAGACCAATGGGACTAATGTCGCGACGAACAAGGTAGTTCTGGCTGATAAGGAGGCGGTGCAAGCCCATGAGGTACTCGAGGAAGGCGTCGCAGCGGTGCTCGACCACCTTGCCCATCTTGTGACGGAACTTGTGCTTCTTGGGGAAGTAGAGGTCGTCGATTAGGCCCGAGATACGAGGAAACTCGTCGCCAAAGAGCTTGAAGTGCTCAGCGATGAGACCTCGCAGCATCATGAAGTCCGAGTAGCGGCGGTGCACGACCCAACTGCGACCAGTGATGGCGTTCTGCACGTGGACGGCGAAGATGGTCGTCTTCTTACCGAGTTTGTTGTCAGTGGAGACCACAGGCTTGACGTGGTACACAGCGATGGAGCCCACATTGACCATGGAGCGCTCAATGGCGGTGCCGCCCATCGCTACCTGCAGCGTCTCGCCGCCGTGGTTGGTAGGGCGCACCACGAGCTGTGGCACGTGCTGCGAGACCTGCGCCTTCAGTGCTTCAGGCGTGGCGCGGATCGGTCGCATGCGTCGACCGACCGCCGAGCTTGACATTTTGTTGTTCGGCATCCTGTTGCTGGTTCCTACACGCTCGAAGTTTTCGCGAATGAAGGCCACCGAGCAGACCCCGGGGCCGGTAGCGCAGCGCTGGCTTGTGTGTCAGCGCCGAGACCGATAAGAGGGTCGGCATTACTCACCGCCGCGCCTCTTCCACCCTGCCTTTCTGTCTGCATTCCGTATTTGGGGCTAGGTGTATTATACGAGATGCTATTGGTGCAAATGGATTCATAAAGCTTATTGATTGGTTGGAATTAGTATGTCGTCACGTTGCACGATTCAAGCTTTGCAAACTGCAACGTGGCAAATTCGGGAAAATCCGCACCAAGAGCTCCACTCGATGCCGCCGCAAATTTTGAGGAGCTCTACTGTGCAGTGTAAAGCTCGCTCGGATCAAGAGTCTCGGTTGCTGTCGCTATGATTGCGAGGCGTGTTGGCGGGGGCTGACTAACCTGCTGGGGACACTGCAAATCTGTTGAGCCCGAAATGTTTGCCAGCGCAGTCTGGGCTGGACAGCTGGTCATAATACTTTTTTGCTTTTTCGAGAGATAATTTCGCCGCCGCAGTGCTGGGCCTGCCTCAAACAAGTTCACCCTGTTTAATTGCTTTGGCCCTGCTCACAGAGTGAATACGGTCGCAGCAACAAGCGCCGCGCCCGTTGTTCGTACATTGTACCGGCACCCACCAGTGACCGCTCTATAAGACCTGACAACAATGGATATTTTGCGACGTGAATAGACGTCGAAAGTCCACCTCATCAGAAGCATGGCATGTCATGGCGGCCACCGTGGAAGTCCTTTGTTGTCAAAGGTCACCGTTACGTTCGTGTTGCCTCACGCTGTACTGCAGAGCTTGCCGGTGCTTTCGAACCCGTCTCGCCAGGGCCACTTCGCCGAAACTCAGCATTAACTGAATTTTTTTAAGCCTCTCCGAGTTGAGGTGGCCATTACGAGTCGGTGCAGACTGGAATCAGTTGAGTATTTGCACCCGGACGTGTGTGGCCGATAGCGCCACACCAGTAATTCCTCGAAAATGAATATTCACGAAGCTCTACATCGTTTGTGATCAAAAATTACTTGAAGTACTTCGCACCAGCTCGCCGATCTTCCCTTTCTCTCTCCATGCGGTACCATCGAACAGCTTACGTCTGCTTCAAGCATTGGTGAAGCGGAAACCACGCTTCGTCCAGCTGGTACCGTGATCACCCCTGCTCACATCAACAATTCTGATCATCAGGAAGCGATCTCCATCGAGTCTTCTTCGCGCTCTGCTGTAGGCCACCAAAATTTGAATAGACCGACAGAGGAGATCTCACGAACAACTTCGCTTTGCTTTGAAGAGATGCAATCGGAAAGGTTAACTAACTAGTTCGTCAATAGCGCAACGCCGAGGAAGGTATTATTTCAATTCGAGACTCTAAAGGCGCCAATGCATTCATGCTGAGCGGAGCTATACCGTTTGAACCCAAGCTGCCGAGCGACGGGATCTGAGCGGGGTCAGCTGCATGTTCAACAAAGCAGAACTTAAATTCCAGACCCCACATGCTACTCCGATGATACGAGTACAGTGTCTATCGAATACGAGCAGAAGAATAGCAGCTCCGCCTGAGTTACGAGTTGCCTTCAAGCAAAAAAGGCACCTTCACTTCAACCAATTCTATCCAATGATTGGCCAATATTTCGACCAATCCTCATTCTCATCATCGTTCCCGCCAAAAAATGTCAACTATTAGCAAATGATGTCGGACCGACCGAACCTGCAGCGCACGCTGCTGCTGGCCAGCGACTGCCCCGCCAGTTGCCTCAATGGGGTACCCGTGATGCTCGGCATCGACGAGGCTGGTCGTGGTCCGGTCATGGGTCCCATGGTCTACGGCGCTGCGTATTGGCCCGTAGCTGACAACGACGCCATGAGCGCGTTGGGCTTCGACGACTCCAAGGCGCTGAGCGCAGAGAGTCGAGCGCAATTGTTCGAGAAGATGCAGTCCACCGAGGGTCTCGGGTGCGTAACTGGAAGATCAATACACTGCTGCGTTGTATACTCACTGGTCGCATTGGCAGGTGGATCGTTCGCTTGATCTCGGCCGCCGAGATCTCGGACAAGATGCAGCGCCAGACCAGCAACCTGAACGAAATGTCGCGTGACGCAGCCATTCAGCTTATTAACGAAGTGCAAAAGAAGGGAGCTGTGGTGAAGAAAGTGTTTGTGGACACAGTGGGCGACCCTCGTTGGTACCAGACCTTCCTGACCAAACATTTCAATGGAACCATCGAGTTCCGCGTCGAAAAGAAGGCCGACAGTCTTTTCAAGGTGCGGAAACGATCAATTGACCTTTCCATGATGTGGTTAAACTGAGATATCAATGGTGCTGTGCAGGTGGTGAGTGCTGCGAGTATTGCGGCCAAGGTGACGCGCGACCGCGTGATCACCGACTGGATGTGGGAGAGCCCTGCACTTGAACTCCCAACGGACTTTGGCTCCGGGTATCCCAGCGACCCAAAGTACGCAGCATGAAGCTCGATAACGGTTGAGTTGAAGCCTAACGAGCATATTTTGTGTCTTGGCAGGACTAAGGCATGGTTGGCGACCCACGTGGACCAAGTGTTCGTGTTCCCCAACATTATTCGCTTCAGCTGGGGCACTGTTGAGCCGTTTATTGAGAAGGCTGTCAAGGTCGAGTGGCCCCATGGGAAAGATCTCGAGAAGGTGAACAGCGAGCTAAGAGCAAGTTGAACATTTCTGCTAACGCTAACATTTTTTTTTTTAACGTTTTAGGCTAATGCCCCGACCGGCACTCAGTCCATCACGTCGTTCCTTGCCAAGCCTGTGCAAAAAGCAAAACCTGCCACACGCGCTGCCTTCTTCACACAGAGAAACATGCAAGACGTAACCGACTTCTAGGCAAATAGGTACATGCAAAAAAATGAGTCACATTCTCGTGGCAAAACCGCCCCATTTTTTCTTCACTCTTCTTCATACAAAAACCAAGTCCTTTTTAACATTCACTTCATGGAACCTCCCGAGTGTCTCCATCGCGGCGAGTTGTGGCAATTCAGTGCGCAATACGGCGGCTGGTTGGCCGTCAAGTTGCTGCTCTTCAGCCATGCGCTCGTAGTGGACCCAGACGCAGACATCGGCACGCCTCGCCGGCGTCGCAACTCGCTCAAGCTGTGGATGGACTTGTGTCTGGTCAAGGACATCACCAAAGTGCACAAGGAGGCAACAGTTCGACGCAGTAGCTACAGCCAATCGCAGTGCGCTGCCAGATTCAAATTCACCGTAGAGACCAAGACGCTCAAGCTCCAGTTCGCCACAGCCACAACGGAACAAAGGGACGAGTGGCTGCACTGTCTGTCACTCGCCATTAAGCTGCACGCCACGCACGAGATGAAAGAGGGTACGTTTAGGATAATTAGTGATAATTCTTATATTTGGACTAAAATGGGTCTCAGAAGGCGCGGCATTCCTGAGATTCGCGTCCAGCGGGTCCGAAGACAGCGAAGAGGAGAATCGACTGTCCAGTCCGGTATCTTGGTCCGCGGAGAACGCGCTGCGATCAGCACAATTGCTGTCACAACGGGCTCGCCCCACAGCGACGCAGGTCAGTGCTAACAAGTGAAAAATACAGACACAGCTGAAGACTGACAGTCTGTTGCAAGGCACTGGCTGAGAATGTGAGGAGTTCAGTGTCGTTGATGATATTAAACATCACGGCGAAGGACGAGAGTGGCTTCAGGTCGGTGTAATTTATTATTTTAAATTACGTTTTTTTTAATCTTTTTTTTATCTGTAGTGTGTCGACTATTGTGCCTGTTAGTGAGGCTTCGCAGGAGAGTGTGAGTGTTCATCAAGTCAAGTTGGATGCCATTCGACAGATGAAAGCTGAGCTACAACGACCGGAGAATAAGGACAAACTCTCGACGCCGGATCTTCTGCATCTTCTTCGACGTGATGCAGACAGCTTCGTGTTGCATCTTGATATTGGCGATCAGTGGCTGCAGGATGAACAGCAGTCTATTGGTCACTGTATTCTCGGCTGTGCTAGTCGTAAGATTAACCTCGAGCTGGTTCCGATGAACAGAATGCCGCAGCCTACGCTCAACTTGGCTATTGTCGGAACCAAGAACAAGATCAGCGACCTGTCCCAGCGTCCGTACACTTGCTACCTTATCGACGTGGTATTTAACGGTACAACGTGGCAACTCGCTCGACGTTACAAGGAGTTTGATGCGCTGTACAGCCAATTGAAGAGCAAGTATCCTGGTACGGCGTTGCCTGGTTTACCTCCCAAGCACGTGTTCACTCCGATTGAAGGCGAGTTTATCAACAACCGCAAAGAACAGCTCGAAGCGTTTCTGAAACAACTGCTACTGCACCCGATTGCTAGCATCGACGTACTTCTGATGTCCTTCCTAGGTGTTGTATCTATCTCGCGGGACCCAGAGCTCGGCCACCGTGCAAAAAGTGTGATTCATGTGACGTCACTGCATGATAGTGTCGCTGTTGGTGACATTATTCTGTTCTCGTGCCGATTTGGAGCCAGTCGACTGCAACGCAAGGTGCGTACAAAGGAGAACACTAAGTTTGAGGGGTATAGTGCTAAAGTTTTGTTATTTTCTACAGTTTACTGGGTCAAAATACGACCACGTTGGTATTGTAGTGCCGGGCGAGTCACGGTTCCTGCTTCGAATCATGGAGGCTACGTCAGAGGGTATTCAAGTATACGCTTTGAAGCCACGACTCATGGCTTATGCACGCGAAGTGTCCAACACAATAGTCGTGCGGAAAATCTCGAGTGAGCGCACTCCAGAGATAACTGAAGTGCTGACAGAATTCGTTCGTCGAGTGGACGGCAATCCCTACAGCATCTTCGGCATCCTACGCTCAACAGGAGAATCAGACCGCAGTATTTTCAACTCGGTTCGTGTTACAAACAGCATGTACGAAGAAAGTGACGACAGCTTCTCCAATACTGGCGGCAGTAGCAACAGCTCGACGCCATCGTCTCCTGAAGGGAGTGAGTCCACCAAGTCTCAACGCAAATACTTTTGTTCCAGTCTGGTAGCATCAGCATGGAAAGAATTGGGCTGGCTGCAGACGAAACGCAAGTCCAGTTCATTCTGGCCCGGAAGTTTCGAAGATGGAGGAGAAGCTGAACGGTTCTTAGCACCGGGTGTCGCTCTTGGACCGGAGACTGTGATCGACTGTCGAATAGTTGAAGTCGGTTTGTCAGCGCAGTGCTAACTGTACGAGTTAGACTAGAAATATTCCTCGAAAAATGTTTCCAGCTTTTTCGCGAATGGCAAATACGGATTGGCATTGCGGTAAACGGCAATTGCTGCTAAAGCCTCAACGAATTCGGAGAAGACAAACTCACTGTCGGCATCGTATCCATTGATACTTGACGCTGTATTCCCGATCTCTCCATCTTGTTGTACAAAGGCGACAAGCTGTTTGATTCTTCCGTAAGGGAACAGCGCGTCGATCAATCGTTTGTCTTTCAACAAACTCTCAAAGTCGCTCAAGTCGAGAAGTTTGCCACGTGATTGCGGATTTTTGTTTCTCTGCGAGTACGAGATAAAAATTCGCTTTAACTTTTTCTCTTGAGCCTTGCAAACGTGTTGCACGTCAGGATAAATCATTTGTTTCTTGAAAGTCAGACCTTGTTCTTGGAATTTCTTCGTCAATGGAACCACTTTGTCCACCACCAAATCGACCACACACGAGAGCAGTGAGCCAGAGCCATTAATTGTCTCCATACTAACCTCATCCCCCATGTTCATCATTGTGGCAATTTGACCCATAAATTCCCGACGTTTTTGATAATTGTGGTACGCCACTCGGGTAAGCGCTTCGAAAAATTCATTCGGAGTTGCACCTCGATCTTCTGCCTCTTCCTCGCCCTCAGTTGATGGTCCTGAGATGCTAGATCCGTTATTTGGATTATCCATCGGGATGCCACCGTTCGATTGACGTGATTGCTGGTAGATTAATTGTAAATGAGACCTTAAAATGTTTTTCTTGTTCGTGACACCAGCTTTTGTCATGACTTTAAGGAATTCTTGCTCTAAAATTCCCTTGCCACCAGCTGCACTGCCATAGATTCGGAAGATTTTAATCAAGTCGAGTACATTGTCCTTGTAAACTTGCTCGATCTTGCGGAATTCGTCCTCTCCATCGCATAAAGACATGAGCTTTTGCGCTGGTAAAGAGACCCATGATGCTAGTGTTTCTTTCTCGAGCGATACTGAAATGTTGGAATCTTTGCACAATACTCTCCTCGAGAAATCATTGAAAGCCTCTCGCGTGACACATCGCTCATGCCAGTTTGCAATATGCCGAACAGCCTTGCAAATGTCGATAAATCTTAAAAATTGCAGGTTGATCCGCTTGAGTTTGCTTAAGAAAATGTAAAATTGTTGCTGGGCGAACGGATCGCATTCGTTATCTTGTAAAGAAGTCTTGACTTTTTGCCATTGCGGAGTGAGAAACGAGTAGCTGAGATGGTATCTCGGAGAAAGAACCATCCCCGGGGCGACGTAGTTTGGATGGAAGAGATACAGATATACTGCGTACGCGTAAAGCGAGTCGAAGTCGTTCAATACAAAGCTGTCCCGGGTGACGATATCAGGTGGAAGGTTGAGTATCTTCGGGACAATCTTGAAGTAGGACCTCAACTGAACTTGAGCAGAAGGAGATAACGTTGTGGCAGTCGTCGAGTTTTCAGCAGCTACAGTCGCTGCTGTGTTGGTTACCTCGGTGCTTCGAATCCGATCGTACTCTGCCTGTGCTTCAGTCGACGTGTGGCATAGCAACTTGAGCATGACACCTGGACTCGCAATTACGGCTCGAAGATCCTGTAAATACTTGATAGGCTTGAACTCTTTCTTTTTGTCTTTCAAGCGGATTTTCGTCTTGGCACTCGATGGTTTCTCTGAAGTACTGCTGCTATCGGTAGCTCCTTTAGTTGGAGAATCAATGATCGTTCCCATTTCAGCCCCACGTCGACGCTGGAAGTTAAACCATTGCATTAAACTATCAGAATGTGGAGACTGTTCGATCCGTTCAATTGCCTGATCCAAGAGATGTTTCATCGTTTCGTCATCTTTCTCGTCGTCAAGCCCAAAGCCGTCGATCTGAGGCATAGCATGGCCACTACTCAACGCGTCCAGGAGTTCATTTCCATGTGCAGATTCAAAGAATTCACCCGCTGTAGTGGGGTACATTTGAACAAGTTGAAGTGTTTCTAGAACGTGGCACGGGTTTGTTAGTATCATAAGCACTATGACAAATTGAAACCACTTACTTAAGACACTATGATCAGCTTTCCGGAGAGAAACTTGGAGTAGCTCCAAGATCGAATCTCCGGCGGTAAACACCAGCTTCAATGTCTCCTGTTGAATTTCTTTTAGCCGATCAATCTCCTGCAGCACGGCATGTATGAGAAGAGTAAAGATTATGACAGTGTGAGAGCTTTAGACTTACCTTTTGAGCTTCCAGCGGTGTGTCACGTCTGGACAAGGCAAACACGATAAGATAGTTACCACAAAAATTGTTACTACATGTGTACTTACAGCTCTTCTTCATAGTGACGTCTCATCTCCTCCACCTTCTCCTTTCCTCGAATGCGCAAAAATGATCGCCAACTTCCCCAAATTCGCCTTAGTTTCGTCAATTCATTTCTGAAAAGAGACAACCATGTAAGCTTCAAAATACTCACAGTAGAAGATAATTACCGTACCGTTTGAAGGCTACTTGAAAGCGCTGCAACCGCTCATCCGTCACTCGAGAGACGTATCCTCTCCAGACTGAAAAAGCATCCTGTCTGCATTTTCGCTTCGTCTGAGCTTGTTTGATGGATATACATCGCTGAATGATCGCCTGTTCTCGAAGGCCCGACGCCTTCGCGTTCTTCCACGCCAAGAAAATCATTCGCATCATCTGAAATCGCAGAGTCGAGACCGTGCGGTTCATCATCATAATAGCAGCCTTTGCACGAACCAGACCAGCTTGTTTGAAAGTCGCCTCGGCTTTTAAAGCCACACGATCGAATTTCGCGTAATCCAGAATCCTCTTCGCTAACTACAAGCAGAAACAGACATAAATTTAATCATATCGTGATAACTACAATAAATAAAGTTTTAATCACGAACGATGTCAGGCTTGATCCGAGGATCGATGCTCAGTATCATATCGATCAAGTACTTTAATCGTGGTGCGTCGCTCATACGTGCAGATCCACAAAATGAGCAGCGTAGAACCCACGAAAGATTCGTGGAGCTGCAAAACCCACACGTCACAGGCTGACTAGACGTAATGATCGGGTTCTTTACCATACTTGGAGGTGTGTGAGTCGTTGAAAAGACCACGTGTGGTGTTATTCCACGATGATCGACGTTGCCCTTTGTCACTAGACCACCATCTTCGTAAGTTGTTGGACCAATCAAAGACTTGAAAAATTGCGCTCGATGTCGAACATCCGCCAATCCTGGTGCCAATTCGTCGTCGCTACTGTCACTATCACTGTTATTCTCTTCGTTGTGCTCGCGATCATCGTGGATATTGTTGAAGACAGGGTGGGGGTGTTTGTGTGCCATCTTCCTCGACGCTCGCTTGGTTGACACGATAGACTTCAGTCGCTTACCTACCCGCTCACCGCCTTCCACGATATATTTCTGTGATGGTTTCGGCGAGTTTGTAGATAGCGAGTGAGCTCCACTGCCAATGGTTGAGGTCATACGTCGGCGCCCTTGAGGCGATGACATTGTTCCCGCTTGGTTGTTCACATCTGCCTCGCCTCGTGTGCCCAAAGGCTCCAGCGAATTGTTTCTTCGCGACAATAGCCTACTGAGAGACGGCGTGGCATCCACGCTCCGCATAGATATCGTCTCTTGATGCTTCTGTATCTTGCAAGTAAAATAAGGTCCTTACTAGAAAGTGGCAAAAGTGGCAACTTGTGTGTGTGACTAGTCAAGCCAAAAGCAACGTCCATTTAATCGAGAATGGTGGTCGTATAAGTTGCTGGACCATCACTCTTTTTGCGAAAATACCGAAATTCAGTCTACTATTTTGGCTGCCGAAGAGCTCTCGAGAAAGGCAATTGACGCAAAAGGCTTGAGAAAACTCTGTCCACTGTATTGTCACTCTCTTGTTGACAGAATGGCGAGCTCGGTGGTCCAGACGCCAGCTCTTGGCTTGGAATCGCCTTCAAGTTCACCCTCCGAGCCCGCATTTGCGACTGATTTGCTCTTCAACTTGGACGATGTTCGTGCTGCTTGTGTGTCCGATCTCGCAGCCCACGCGAACTTGGTGACGATGCTCAGGAGCCGAATCAACCTGGAAAGGACGTACGCTCAAGAGCTCAACAGAATGGCAAGACACTCGCACCTCGGTGAGATGGACCACGGTACCATGAAAAACGCGATGGAGAGTCTCAGATCACAGTACCTTAACACGAGCGTGCAACACCAACACCTCGCGAAAAATCTCGAAGAAGACGTTCTCCTACCTATCGAGGTTCTGTACGAGTACAACAGCGAAAGAGTGCAAAGTCTCACTCGTCGAATCAACAACGCCAAGAAGGATGTCAAGGTACGAAAAATGTCGGAGTCTAGCTGAGTAGCACAAATTTT